AAATTTAGTCGATTGAATTTCTGACAATTTACCGTAATTTTCTATAAGAAAGAGAATAGACACATATTTCCATTAATTATACGTTTCTTCACGTAGCTATCGTTCTAATTTCTTTGGCACAAATGAATGACCTTACTGGTAGTGTTAATGCACTTTACAGCTGAATATCTAAAAAGTTTATATATGTTTCAATAATAATTCGATCTATTGAAATTGTTAAAATTCTTGGAGAAAAACTGATACTTCCTCTTATGGTAGTTCATCGTTATTTCAAAGAAGCAATCTTCTTATTCTAATAATAAAATTAATATTCCTTCGAATGGTTTTAATACTAAGAAATGTTGAGCTTAAGGGGGTCTTCTACTGTAAACTGTCAAGAAATTCGAATTTTTTTTTGCATTTTCTTAAAGGATAACGGGCATCGAGACAGAGTTAAGTATGTTTAAAACCGCCTGTTTCGAACAAATTTTCTGAAAGAACCACTCGCTTGTACGAACGTCATTTTGTTTCTTCACGAGTTTAACCTTTGGCTGGGTTTAAAGTGTCGTAAATTAACACTAGAACTACCGAAGCAGTCAAAATGACCCACTCGTAATTTCTAATAAAACTAGTAAAAAATTTACTCGAATTTTCTATAAGAGAATGAATAGACACTTATTTTCATTGCATTATATTGGATCGTCCCATATGTTCGTGTCGGGTTTTATACTATAAGTTAAAGCAATATTTTAGATATATAATGGAATTTTATGAAAAACAGTAAATCTCTTCCTTTGGCAAAGCTATTGTATCCTCGCCAGAAAACTTCTTTGATTTTTTATTAAAATGTAGTTCAACGCTTTTCATTAAAACGTTGATATTTTCAAATTGTTTATTCACTAATAAACCTGGAGATTGTTTTATTTAATTTCTTATAAGGTTTGGTTTTATTATATGTTAACAAAAATATTCATAGAAATAGGCTCAAGCACAATTAAGAAAATTTTGTTCCATAAGCCAGCATGGATTCCAAAAGTCGAGCTTTGACGGAATATATATTTGTTTCAAATTTCTATGAATTGTTGATATTAGTATGTTTAAAATTTCAGAAATCCTCTGAACTTGCAAATTTTGTTTGTTTTCTATTAAATTACAAATTTTATCCTCGTCAATTTCAGAATAACGAACGGAATGAACTTATGGCTCGACCTAATACATCTCTTCACGTATCTATTGTTCGATTTTCTTTTAGCACAAATGAATGAACTTACCGGTAGTGTTAATGCACTTTGCAGCTGAATATCTAAAAAGTGTATATATGTTTCAATAATAATTCGATCTATTGAAATTGTTAAAATTCTTGGAGGAAAACTGATACTTCCTCTTATGGTAGTTCATCGTTATTTCAAAGAAGCAATCTTCTTATTCTAATAATAAAATTAATATTCCTTTGAATGGTTTTAATACTAAGAAATGTTAAGCTTAAGAGGGTCTTCTACTGTAACCTGCCAAAAAATTCGATTTTTCTTTTTTGCATTTTTTTAATGGGTATAAATATGAACATATCTCTGTTTAAATGCGTTTTTCTCAAAACAATCTTTTCTGAATTGGCTTCCATAGTATCTCAAGATCCACTTGACCTTCAGTACATGTTTCTTTGTATTTTTTTTTTACCCTGCTAAAGTTAACAACAAGAAAAAAATCGATATTTCAACGTCATAATGCTGCCATTTTTTTTAATTATTAATTTTTTTCTGTCCTTTTTGTACCATAAGAAAATGTATCCTAATTAAGAATCTTTTTCATTCTTTTGACTTAGACAAACAGAACGGCTGGAATCATGAAAGTCATTAGAACACTTTTTTTTTTGTACTGCCACTAATTTTTACTATTTCTCGTTGTAAAAATTTGTGAATATTATCGAAAGAGTAATAAATATACACTCAAAACACCGATTCAAGAACTTGCATAGTTTCTTTATAAAAAAATACCAAATAGAACATAAAAAAACGCGTTTTACAGAAGATGCCCTTAATCGACGTAAATCCAATATTCTAATATTTGTTTCCCCGAAATATTTTCCACTCCTCTTCCCTTTGAGTTCTTATCCAGCTAACGGATTATAATTTACCTCTGTCTGAAATTTTTCGAAGAGACAAGGTCTCTGGGTTTTTGGGACGATTTTTTATCCTTCGAAATGTTATCGTGTGAAGCATAACGGGACGGTCGGTCGCAAGTTTCGTTTCGTCCTTCGTTATTCCGAGGGTGCATATCGCTAGCCAGCAGGTCGTATCGATTCTGCCGGGCTGATCTGAAATTCCGTCGCTGTCTCGTACATTAGGATGGGCCGCATAGCGTGCATGCAGGCGGCCGTATCGTCGATACTCGTCGGTGCACTTGCTCGTAAGTGCACTGGATCATCGCGAGTCGCGTAATTCTTCCGGCCCGCGTACGAGAGAACGGAAGTGCAGCCTACCGCCATCGCGTCGGTGGCCCCAGCTGGCGCATCCCGTGGCCCCGAAAATCGTAAACAGTTTACCGAACGTTGCCGAAACTCCTCTGGTTTCTCGAAAATTCCGCGACCAACGCACGCTGGGCCAAAAGTCTCGCTCCAAACCCGTCGAAAATAACAGATTTTTGGGACACCCTAAGAGAATATTTAGTAATTAAGTTTCTCGCTTTAAGATGGATGGTTGATGGGCAAAGTTGTCGAAATTGAGGTGCTAATCCTCGTGTCCATAAAATGTGTGGTCTTCTGACTGATGCAGTCATTGACTCTTACTTCTTTCGAAACGAAAAAGATGTGACTGTGACTGTTACGGGTAAGAATTACCGTTTGATGATTTTATCTTTGGAGAAAATTACGTGGGTTTCGTTTGTGTAAGATGGTGTAACTATCGCTTTATTGAGATTGAACGTCAAGTAGCCACTAAGATGTTACTAAGACTTTTTATTCTAATAAATCGCAAACTGTTGACGATTTCGAGGCAAACATCCTGAGAGATACAGTCTGAGGATCGTTTAGATAAAACAATGAGCAGCAGATAATCTTCCGTGGTTTTCGTCTTATTTCAAATTCAAAGTTCCATCGGTATTATTGGAAAACCCGTTAGGTTCGAGTTAGTGCCACGAGATACGACGAGGTGACTCGATCGTGCATTACAGAGTGCCAGAAGCGCCTTTTAAGGCGAAAATACGAGCCAATGATCGGTTTGCATTACTCCCAGTCTCCTGTAAGTACTCTATGTTGCATAAATTTTCACGGCGCGGCCGCGTGCTCGTAAACAGAGTCGACATAAAGGATATATGCCTTTCGACGACGAACGTCGAGTTAATTTCGACGCGGACGTGGACGGGAATTTTCTTCGTCGTCGAGTCGCGAATCCACGAAACGACTCGTTTGTTGCTCCTGTTTGAAGGAGAATCGAGTTGCAGGCGGAATTCGAATGAATTTTATGGGAAACGTCGATGAGCGTCAAGCTGAGAAAAAGGAGAGAAATAGCTGAACAACCAGAGTTTGAATTTATTTTGTTTAGATGCTTTGTACGTTGTGAGATTTTGACAATTGTACTTCTAATATTTTGGTTGGATATTAAATTAGATTTGAACTCGAACTCTTAAAAGTTCTATATTGAGAATTTCGTACTGAAAGCTTAGACAACGAATTGAAAACACAGTTATTGGAAGTTGGCAAAATTCTGAAGAATTTCGTAGAGTAATAAATTCAATTATTTATCTATGCCAATGTTGTATCCAAGCAGGAGTTCACCATGGAATATAGTTTGCAATTTTGTTCAGATGATAGAAAACAATTTGATGACTTCTCAAATTCTCATTACCAATCCTTTAATTATTCTGTCATGCATGATGAACGAAATTTTGATTCGTCAATTAGTTACGAAAATAATTGAATCTGTCAATTCACGTGGTTTATTCTGTATAATGGCTTCGAAGGATATAGAAATAGTATGAGTGACGATAGAATAGAGCAAGATTTAGGAAGTTACACGGAGGATGCAGAGACTAGGATGATGCAAGGTTCGTAGGACACGGATAATAGTGTTTATAAGGAAGCGGACAGGGTGTTCGTGTCTACAAATTCAAGCATAGATTAGGCAAATACATTACAGTGTAAATATTCCAAGTAAATTGCACCATTCGTCACGGGCACGTCCACTCGCGATTTACAATTAAAAAGCTTCTTATTAGACTATTAGATCACTATTCTAACGGAGCCAGACCTGCATTCGCTAGAAACCACATGACATGGAGAGAAGAATTGGACGTTTGCAAGTTTTATTTTTACCATTTAAGTGAAAAGCAGGTAGTTGCTAGGAGTAGAAATCTTTACAATCAACCTAGTATTTCTTATTAGATTATTAGATCACAGTTGAAATACTATTATAACGAGCAAGACCTCTGTTCCCTAGAAATCACACGACATGGAGAGAAGAATTGGACGTTTGCAAGTTTTATTTTTACCATTTAAGTGAAAAGCAGGTAGTTGCTAGGAGTAGAAATCTTTACAATCAACCTAGTATTTCTTATTAGATTATTAGATCACAGTTGAAATACTATTATAACGAGCAAGACCTCTGTTCCCTAGAAATCACACGACATGGAGAGAAGAATTGGACGTTTGCAAGTTTTATTTTTACCATTTAAGTGAAAAGCAGGTAGTTGCTAGGAGTAGAAATCTTTACAATCAACCTAGAATTTCTTATTAGATTATTAGATCACAGTTGAAATACTATTATAACGAGCAAGACCTCTGTTCCCTAGAAATCACACGACATGGAGAGAAGAATTGGACGTTTGCAAGTTTTATTTTTACTATTTAAGTGATAAACAGATAGTTGCTAGTAGTAGAAATCTTTACAATCAACCTAGTATTTTATGATTCGCTATTAGGAAGAAGTATCGCGCTATGGAAATTCCGCTTATAGCGAGTCGCTGGTGGTCGCCCAACGTAATTTGATCTCAGAACGGGTCAAAAGCCCTTGGCAGGGTTCGATACTCACGAAAAAGGAGCTGCCTTTTCGGAACGCCAGCGATCTGGTGGCTCTAGCAGCGGTCACGAGCTTCCCCGCGGTAACGAGGCCGAGACATAGCAAGCTCCAGAACAACAGTCGCATAATCAGCGAATTCTGGGCACCGGGCCAAGATGTCCCTGCAACGTCACCACACGCGATATTTGCTGCAGCTCGCTAGAACTGATTTCGACCGCGAAATGTCTTCGTCCGATGCGATTGAGTCGGTTTTCGAGGCACAACCGTTGCCTTTCGACGTTGATAACGGTGCTCACGCCCCACTATTTGGGCAACTTTTCGCTCTACTTCATACGCCTTCATCTTCCTCCTCGGTTAGCGTTGTTTCACGCTGACTAGTATGATTGGGCACCGATCGTACACGCAAGCTCGATGGGAACGTTCAACGATTCTCGTGGTTACGTTATTTTAGACTCGTTGGATAGTTTCATAAGTACGTACACGTAACATAGGTGCACGGATATACGAGACACGTTTGCTATCACCAGCGAATTGGAAACCATTCGCCACAGATCAAACCACATTCGTAGTAATTTTGATTTATAAAGTGCATGGTTCTAGTAATAAATTGATTACGTAGGCCCACTGAATATTTGGAATGTGTTCCCGCGTGTAACGTGGCACTGGTCTACAGTTCTCAATTTGTTCATTTATGCTGGTATAAAATAGACAACCATCGTTGTTACACACACGTGATGTTGCAATCACACCTATGGACGTACATAGGTTTGTTTAATGCTAACACAGTGAAATTTCAAGTAAATCAAAATTGTATAATGAACATAATTGCTGGAAACAGTAGAGAGCTACCTGAGTAGTTTACATGTACATGTATGATAAACGAATATGCTTTAAAAAAATCTTGTTTGCAAAAGAATTATCAAGCAAGATTTATTCGAAGTATTGTTCTATATCATCAAAAGTAAATGAGTTATTTCAATATAATGTTTAAAATATCTTACCCTGTATAATACATTGCAAAATTTTTTACTTTAAAGTACCCTTTACTTTCCATGGTAATAATGCCTTTATAAATTGATTTATGCGATCAGAAATTCTGGTCAATATTAAAGTAACACTTTTCAAAAATTATGATCACTAAATCACAAGGCAATTTCTTTTATGATTTCAAGTATACACATGTACTATTGTTTGGCGTGAAAGGATTAATATAATTTGTTCCAATGCGACAGAACACGCAGGAATTCTATTACATATTTGCTAGCTCCATATTGGAGTTGGAAAGTTTGTGAATTAAATTTGGTTAGTTCTGAGTATTTGAAATGTAGATCCCACATAGTCGGTATTCTTCAGGTTCCTGGCACGCCTGTTCTATTATAACGAGGTCTCGTTCGTTTAATCGTTATAAGATTGAAATATACTTACGCTCGAGGTTGAAGTATCGCGTTAGGTCGAATTCTATTAATCTCACGAACCTAATTGTAATATATTACTATTACCTCTCGATTATTCTCAATCAATACGTGAAATTATTTGTCACAAAAACATATATTCCTATCAGAAATATAAATCCAAAAACGCGACTATATTCTTTAAGTAAATAGAAATAAATATTTGTCAACGGATTCTACGCTTCACGTCTACAGTTGGTCCAGAAATGTTAAAAAAAAGATGTTCAGCGAACCTCGAAAATGGTGGGCAAAATTTAAGGTCGAGAGATATTGGATTTCTTAAAGATCGCGCAATTTTTATTAATCGTTCAAAAATGGGACGCATTGTTAGCCTCCGTCTCGAACGCGAGACACGCTGAATTTCCTTCTGTGAAGCGTCAGACTTAACAGTACTCCTTCGTCTGAAATATGGAACATGCCAGTACCTCTCGCACGAAGACTGAGTTTCTCTCAGTAAACTCCTAAACTGCCTGGAACACGAAACGATCTTGTGCTACCTCCCCGAGTCGTTTTACGACCGAGAATCCCCTGTCTGAAGTGTCGGATGAGTCTGTGCACCGCGCATCCCAAAAGTGATTTGTCTATTGACACAGGCCACGAAATTAGACTGACCGAATACCCCGTCAAATATTGCAAACACACCTTAACTGAACCAACGTAAAATTAACGCAAAAAAAATGGGTCGTTTTAATACCTATTCAATCGAAAATAATAATCGTACAAATGGAACAATATTTCCACCAGTATATCGATTGAAATATTTATGGTGAATTTTATTAATTTGATTGAGATATTATTCAACGATTAACAACGGTGTAAACATTTTTATTCGACGCCCCCGTTGACACTTTGACTGTTACATCATCCATATATGACAGAACTTTTAACAGTGGAACTAAAATAATTAATTCTCAATTTGAAATGTCAAAGAAAATAAATTCGACTAGGCTTCATAAATTTTAGCGAGGTTACGAAAGTAAGTACTATGAGAATTTTAGGTTATGTAGTTTACAATTGTTTAAAATCAAAGTTTCAGCCTCGTAAACAATTTTACGGTTTTTAGACAGTCAACGTGTTCAATTGCAAATATCTTGAAAGGGATAATTTGAAAAGTACTAATTTGAACGGTTCATTTCGTAGAATTATCGCGCCTTGGATTCGCCTGTCGGCAAAACATCTCTCGAGTGTCGATTCGTTCAACCCGTTCACGTTCGTACCGTGTTCGATTTAAAAAGACAGTTTCCTGGGCACAGCTGGCGTAGCATGTAGCTGTGTACTTATCGAATAAGGTAGTTCATTAAACTCTGCAAAACGCACTTAGCTCCAATTTGCGCGCAGCGAGACGTTCGGGCGGAATTGGCTGCAGAAAATCGACGAAATAACTCCCATGAGTAGAGACTGGCTTGTCACTCGGCAATTGGAGCCTTTGCAGTTAACTACCTTCGATTAAAGTGACTTCGTTCAAACTATTAAACCGACTCGAGCTCCGCGCGGCCCCGTGAAGTCAAAACGACCGTAAAACTGGGCGTTTAATAATCAATTATTTTCCGCCCTTCCCGGTTCCATCGTTTACTGCCTGGAAACGTATTTATGGACTCAATCTCAGAGTCGAACAAAATATTTGCGTCTATTCCCGACCCTAAGTTCAGTTACAAATCTTTGATCGTACACAGGATCAATCGTGAAGATTTTTACCATCAGGGTTCTTATATAATTTTTATCCTACGATTCTAGGATTATATTGAGGTGATACAATATTAATTGTTTTTATTTTAATATTACAACACAATCTTGTATACTCAATCTCAGAGTCGAACAAAATATCTGCGTTCATTCTCGACCCTAAGTTCTGTTACAAATCTTTGACCGTACTCAGGATCAATCGTGAAGATTTTTACCATCAGGGTTCTAATTTAATTTTTATCCTACGATTCTAGGATTATATTGAGGTGATATAAAATTAATTGTTTTTATTTTAATATTACAAAACAATCTTGTATATTAATTTGAGCAAAGATTTACAAGGAGTGAACTGCTATAAAAAAATAACAGCGTGGAAAATAAGAGTTTATATTGCTATATGTACATACATAATAATATTCGTAGTGGTTGTATAACATGCATTAGTGTATTGTAGACGGTTGGAGAAGTTCGAGATGTATTTGCCTAGGTTCTTCGATCGGGAAGAAATGTAGGAGAGAACGTTACGACGGATTCGCCCTTTTATTGCACGGGGATCGTAGATAGGATTTGACGCGAGCTTAACAGCGTGAAACATAAGGTAGAAAGAGATTTATTCCAGTGTAAAGGAAGAGTGACGTAAGGCGATGGCGAGGCGTGTAACTGGGTCGGGAAAGAAAGTAAGGAGAGAACGTAATAAAGCTCGTAACAAAGGAACCTAATAATAGAAAGTGGCGCATCTTAATTAATAAACGGTGGAGATTCGATCTAGAACCCCTAGGCCAGGGGGACACGAGGAATAAATCGTCGAGCAGTTTTCGTGTCTTCTTCCTATCGTCGCTGCCTCCAAATATTCTTCGTTCATCGTCGAGACGTCTCCGTGATCCGGACTGAAAAGGGAAAATAAAATTTGCAAACAACTCTCCGATATTATCGAGAGTCAACAAATATTGACACTAATTTATTACATCAAAGTTCTCGAGATTGCAACGAGAATCTTTTTCAGTACAGATATTCGGATAAAAGTGTTTTAAAAACATGGTTCCTTTTAAAAGCGTGTATTTATATTCTTACGTGAACAACAGATGCAACAATTCTCCGACCAACCCCTCGTCTTTTAACGGCGTGGCGGCGGCTTCGCAAATATCCTTCATCAAGCAACTGTTTCCGTCGATATTTCTCCTGAAAATACTTCGTTAGCGCTCGTAATAATTGTATTTATAACCTCGCCTTATGAATATTAAACGACACGACACGGTGCTATAATTAAATTGTAACATCATACATGGTACGCACGTTCTCTAAATTATGCGTGCATTAAGCAGAGTTATTTATTTAATTGGAACGATACCGGGTATAATTTATATTATACTTCTTCCGAAACGTTTGGTGCAGAATGTACAGCTCGAGCCAAACAGCTTGATTACTTTAAATCGTTTGCATATTACTTGTTGTACGAAAAAGTGGCATTGGTTATTATATTTCTACTAATTATAGATGTTTAGGTAGACAGATAGACGAATATATTAAACAGTTAGCTACTAGCTTAATCGTTTGTATATTACTTGTTGAATGAACAAATGTTTAAACTAAAAGTGAGATCGGTAATTATATTTCTAGTAATTATAGATGTTTAGGTAGACAGATAGACGAATATATTAAACTGTTAGCTACTAGCTTAATCGTTTGTATATTACTTGTTGAATGAACAAATGTTTAAACTAAAAGTGAGATCGGTAATTATATTTCTAGTAATTATAGATGTTTAGGTAGACAGATAGACGAATATATTAAACTGTTAGCTACTAGCTTAATCGTTTGTATATTGTTGAATGAAAAAATGTTTCGAATAAAAGTGAGATTGGTAATTATATTTCTACCAATTATAGACATTTGAGTAGACAGATAGACGAATATATTTATCGATCTGATAAATTGCGGTATTTAATATATTCGATCGTGACGAATTTAAGAGTAACATCAGGCTGTCGAGTTAAGTGACTCGTTCCGTAGAATAATCGAGACATCGCTTTTACCGATTACCCGTCGATCGTTTAATGATAATCGATTAATTACCGGGTGTTCGCACAATATTCATTAATTATTCACGCGCGTATTTGCATCTGTAAATTTGAAACGCCGCGAATTCGAAGTTACTCGTGATTGCGAATTCCAAGCCCTGTAGGTGAAATTAATTAATTCACGATAACGCTAATTTCGCTCGATAAAAATCGTCTGCCGCGCGGGTAACAGCGGATCCCAGGAACAGGGGCTTGCTCACCTGTCGAGTTCTCGTTCGATAATATCGTATATGGGCTTCCTCTCGTTCCACGTCGAGCGTCTACGACGTCGTCGGGATGAGTCCTCGAAGAACTTCGTGAAGAAGGTCGCGTTGTTTGGCAACGCGTATTGGAACTGTATGTTATGGCCGTAAACCAAAATCTTCCCCGAGAGTTGAATCGGCACAGCCAGGCCTAAGATCAGCTTGATACGCGTGCAATAAATAAACATTCGTTAAATCTCAATATTAATATTAATTTAAGATTATTTACTTTCTCGAATAAACGTATGCTCGTGAATATGTTTTATTTCCATCGTCGAGGGAATAATTAAAGTACTTCTATATTCTACAAGACTAATTAGTAATTCTAAATCAAAAGATTTTAATTCGTGAATCATATTTAATTATTTTCATTATTATTTACTTTCTCGAATAAACGTGTGCCCGTGAATAAGTTTTATTTCCATCGTCGAGGGAATAATTAAAGTACTTCTATATTCTACAAGACTAATTAGTAATTCTAAATCAAAAGATTAAATTCGTAAATCATATTTAATTATTTTCATTATCATAATATCGTAGAATTATTTCTTCTTTTGAACATTAAATTTACTCGAAGAAGATGCTATTACTAAAGAACTTTAAAACCTATTAAATTGAAAACATAGTCGTGTCAGGATTAGGAGCAACGCCCTTGCGAATAATTCTTTTTAATTTGAGAGGTCCTCTATAGAAGAAGTTCGTTCGGGGCTTTCGTTGGAGGTTTCTCAGGGAGAACGATCGACGAAGGGAAAAATCGATGCGAAAGGGAGAAACAAACGAGCAGGTCTAGCAATTTCAACCACTTTCAGCCCGTTCATTTTCATACGCGATGGAGCAATTTGTCCGCGACGGAGCTCATCCGTCGGTTGAAAGGGAGTCCGGGCCAAAAAATTCATCACCGAAAGTACGTAAGCGTGTGAAACAGCCGGAGAATAAAAGCCAGCGTAATCTCGCTTTCTTTGGAAAGGCGGAGACGGATCGTCGGGAAGTTTAACGAAGACGTTTCTGTTTTTCTCGGCATCTGCAACCCCCGTGAAGAGCGAACAGGCGTCAAAAGAACCGGGGGCGAAAACGAGCAACGCGGAGGAACGCAATAATGCTCGTGACTTCCCTTCGTCGATGAAACGACGCCTTCAAATACGAATTGAATGGACCGAATATATCGTTGAGCAATATTAACGGCGAGTCGTTGATCGAACGCAGTCGAAAAATAAGGAACGCCAATTTCACTCGATCGAGTTTCTATTTAATAATATTTCGATCCTCCAGTTTGGGATAGTTTTCAGAATGACGGGAAATTTTTTAATTAAATCGGAAACTCATTCTTAGAAAGAATTAATCCTAGAAAGCAAACAACTAAATATTAATAAAATAAACTAATTACAAAAATATGGGACACCAATTTCACAGTCTCAACCAAGCTTCTATTTAATATTATTCCGATCCTCTAGTTTGAGATCGTTTTTCGAATTACGGGAAATTTTTTAATTAAATTGGAAACTCATTCTTAGAAAGAATTAAGCGTAGAAAGCGAACAACGTCGAGGGTAACAGATTGAGAGTCAGGAGAAGCACGAAAAAAAAATTTATAGAATTTCATCTTATAATGTACGAGTGAAAATACGACGACAGATTGTAAATTTTATATTATATTACCGTTGTCGCTGTTTGTACGATCGATTCTTTCTAATTTTCAATAATCTTGTAATATTATGATCATATAATTTTTTCAGAGACACGAGCTGTAAATTACGTTTGCCTTTTTTAACCAAGCTTCTTGGGTCGTCCTCGGTGAATGTAGAAAGCTTTATCACATAATCCAGAAATGTTTTATTAATCTCATAAGTACCGCAGAGCTGGTAGCATTACAAAATATGGGATTTTTATGAAATTGTAAAATATTTGTAGATACTGTGACATTATTTTTAATTACATTCAGGTCTCGCGAAATAAAATCAAAACGAAATGGCAATTTTCTGCTTTTGACGACTATTTTGTTCTGATTTTTATTTCGAACGACGTATTCATAATGCAAGGGGCGAATAAAGCTCAATGTAACGACGCACAGTGGGCCAGAATTTATACAAAAATAAAATAAAAATCGTAACTGAAATATTAGCGTTACGATACTAGAAAGCAACGCAGTAATAAACAACATTTGGTCAAAATAAATGAAAGAAGTAAGAGTGAGAGTAACTCATGTTCAACTTTGTTTTTTAAAAGCTTAAAAATGTTGAAGAAGCCGTGTTTACGTAAGGAATCCATCCTTGACATTCTCGAACATGACAGTTGCCCACTTCGTGATATTCGTGAACCTCTGAATCGAAATTGACAAACTCTATGTTGTGATTACGATTTAGGAACGACAAATTTCAACACCTCGGCTGGCAATACAAACATGCACGGACGAAATGAAGTTTGAGAGAAGCAGAAAGCAAGAAGGAAGGGAAATTACAGCGAACCACGGCCTTTTTTTGCCATTCGTTGGGAAATTTCGCCAGCGAATGCAGTCCTCATTTTTCAAGTTTCGAAATGCCGCTTAACCTCCATCCGTTTCCAAGATATTACGGGGTCGGTGAACTTTTCTTTCTTTCTGCTATTCTCTCTTTCTCTCTTATCAGAACCACTCTTCGTTTCCTCCCTCTCTGGCTTGTATCGAGTATTTTACCACTGATAGATTCTCAAGAAATTCCCCATGGTTATGAAACTGATACTTCGTCGATCTCTAATTCAAATTGATAATGCTCATATTCTAATTACTCAGTCATGACGAATTCAAAAAAAGAAAATATTTGCTTCAACAGATGACGACTTATAATCCTCATACATTACACAGACTTTCTTTTTTAAAATCTTTCAATTCTGTGAGTTAATAAATTTACAAACTCCACACAGTGGGATATAAAATTGTTGTCCAGGACCCACGAATCAATTGGCCGATACGAAAAGCTAACAGCTGAATTCGCGGCAGTTCGTATCGCATCGCGTGTATCCTCGAAGGATTAATATTGTTTTTTTTTTTCCGGTGGACAGTGGAGGGTAAATTTTGCGTTGAACGGACTTCTCGAGTTAAGTAAACTTGCCGCGTCCACAATTCATCCGAGTTCAGCACTTTAAGTTTGCCCAACGTCTATCGCACAAAAGCGACTTGACGCGCGCTCAAACTTTTAATTGTCCTTCCGACAAGAACGCCAAGCTTCCAGTCGCCCAACACGTGCTCGTTGAAGCGAAGACATGGAAGTAATTGAAAGTCGTCGCACTTCTTTGCAGGTCTCTTCACCAGCTATTCTTCTTATTCCTTCTCGCTTTGAAGCTTGCGCTTTTGACGCAGTGCAGGGCTCCGCGTGTTTAGATACATACTGACCCAGAAACAGGCGAATTTTATTTCCCCGTCGGTTCCCCGGTTCTCCTCGACGCCGAGCATCGAAATATTTGCCTCCGTCGTGCCGTCGCGGCCTCTGAAAATCTGATAATGTCTGATAATCAAACGCTCCGACGGTTGGAACAGCGTTGATCAGACGTCGATTTTCTACTACCCTGTGCTGCTCGACAAATTGTAACGACGTACTCTGGTGCTTCTGTTTGCGCATCGAATCGTATACGTCGAACGTTTCCTTTGCCACCCTTTCACGCTACATTACGTTTACTTCGTTTTACCTTCAAACGACGCTTGACATTTTCTTTCTAGATATACAATAATTAAACTCCTCGGTGAGCAACAAAATCAAGATTCAATTATAATAATTTTTTGCTCGAGGTTTTATCCATCGATAAAACCATTACGAGCTAAGTGGAGTTGATCTTAATCCCTGTAAGGCTACAAAATCGTTCAAAATGTTCCTAAGGAGTTCTCGAGAGGAAAGTGGTCCGTCTTTTCAGATCTTGATTTTCACCCCAAGCAACAAAATTAACAAAAGATTCAATTATAATAATTTTTGGCTCGATGTTTTATCCATCGAGAAAACTATTACGAGCTAAGTGAAGTCGATCTTAATCCCTGTAACGTTACAAAATTGTTTAAAATGTTCCTAGGGAGTTCTGAAAAGGAAAGTGGTCCGCCTTTTCAGATCTTGATTTTCACCCCGAGCAACAAAGTCAACGAAAGATACAATTATAATAATTTTTGACTCGATGTTTTATCCATCGATAAAACCATTACGAGCTAAGTGGAGTCGATCTTAATCCCTGTAACGCTACAAAATCGTTCAAAATGTTCCTAAGGAGTTCTCGAGAGGAAAGTGGTCCGTCTTTTCAGATCTTGATTTTCACCCCGAGCAACAAAATTAACAAAAGATTCAATTATAATAATTTTTGGCACGATGTTTTATCCATCGATAAAACTATTACGAGCTAAGTGGAGTCGATCTTAATCCCTGTAACGCTACAAAATCGTTCAAAATGGTCGTAAGGAGTTCTCGAGAAGAAAGTGGTCGTCTTTCAGATCTTGATTTTCACGAGCATCGCGAAACAGGACGCAGAATCCTATATCGATTTGATATCCCTCCCCCCTGGATTATCTATAAGCTTGAAGTCGTCGTTCGTTACCGAAAGGGGCCGCGAGTAATTGAGCGCGCCAGGGCCAGCGGCAGAAGCCAAGGCAAACAGTCCATCAGGACGCTTCGCTCGCCCGGGAAAGAGTGAAAACTACAGAAAGAGTTTCCCGATTTAATTAGAAAATTTGAGAGGAGACAGTAGATAAGGCTCCGGTTAATTATCAGCTGCGGATAGAAGGTGGGTTGGGGCAAGAAAGACGTTTCTTTCGGTTTAAAGTTTCTGCTACTTTCCAACGGGGACGAACACTTTCCGATTCCCACCGCCTCGAAAACGTCGTCGGAACCCTGAGAATTCCACGTTGTTACACGTTAATTCGTGCAATATCTTTGGGAAAGAATTGGAAAGTCAAGGATAAGCATTACTAGACTGTGGATGTTTATGCATATACATAGAAGTTTGTTTCATCACTGGAGGTTCTTAAAAATATAGTTTTTATTTTATTGCATATCATATATGTTTATTGCATTTCTTTTCATAAAATTAATGCTTATATGGGCATCCGAATATCTATTTTAGTCTATTAATTCAACGTTTGTGTACGATAGTCGTGTTAGAACTGACAACATAGCTATTTATACATCCGGTGTTTACCTATAGTGAATCATTAATGGTAACATTGGTTCGTAGATGCTATG